TCCATTTCCAGGTGTTTTCTGTTTATTCTTTTTTGTTTTCACTTCAACATTTTTCTGTTGAAGACCAGATGTCTTCTTTCCTGGAGCAGCACCTCTCATCTTCCCCTCTGCATACTGCTCCTGATTGGCTTTTTGAAGTTCTCTCTGTTTCTGCAGATTGGTGTCCACATATTTGAGCACTCTGCTTTCTGGAACCCATTCAGCCCAGCTTTGCTTCATACAGAAGAGGCCCATGAAAGCATAGCACTCGCTCACCCTCCTGGAATTTAGGCTTTGGGTCCTGCTTCGGCGCCATTTATAAGTGATTCGCCGCCTCCTCCTTCTCCCACCACCCCCAATTACTGCCGCCTACTCTCTACCCCATCCAACTCCCAATAATGGAGTCTTGATGTGGCGCTGTGGATTAATTCGCTAGACCGCAAAGTTGTTTGAACCCAAGTCGGCAGTTCAAGCTCACCAGCCACTCCTCGGAAACACCCTTTACAAGGTTGCTGTGGGTCAGAACTGACTCAATGGCACTTAATGACAACAACATCCATATATAGTGGCGTCCTGGTATGGCACGGCAGGATAACGCGCCAGACCTCAAGCCAGTTTGAGCCACAAGGTTAGCAATTCAAACCCACCAAGTCGCTCATTGTAAACCCTATACAGGGACACTAGGAGTTGGAACCATCTCAGTGTCACTTAACAACAACAACAACAATAATCCAAAAACAATAGTGCTAGTTTTCCCAAACTCTGACCAACATTGGACTTTTAAAAGTTTCTGGTCTGACAAATAGAAATGGCCTTCCTTAGATTTAATATATATTTCTTGAATTATGAATCAGGTAATTGGTGCACCGTAGATTTTTTTTTTTTTTTTATAAATTGCCAGACATATTGCTTGCCCCATGTTTCATTTGACTTTTTCTTATTGATTTATAAGAACTTATTTAAAAACTTTAATGGGTTAGGGCTTCAAAAAATTAATGGAAAAATTCTGTTATCTTTTAATTCCATTTGTCCAAATACCTGTTGAAGCTCCCTTCATGCATTGCAAATTTCCCTGCTTATTGTTTATGCCCCAACTCCATTGATGATAGTCAACACATTTTTACTCGGACAACAATGTATGTAGCCTAGGCAATGTTTTATGTGTTGAGAACACATTGTAGGTTTTATTTTATTAGAGGAAAGAACTGACAAATAAATAGAAAAATAACTAAGTAATATGATAGGGTTGTTGTAGGGGCTGTCACATCAGTTCTGACTCATAGTGACCCTGTTAAGGGTTTCTAAGGCTTAAAATCTTTGAGGGAGCAGAAGGTCTCATCTTTCTCCCACAGAGTGACTGGTGGGCTTGAACCACTGACCTTGTAGTTCGGAGTCCAGTGATTATCATATGGAGCTACCATGTTCCCAGTATGATGTGAGGGCATGTTGTTCAGTAAGTGGCACCAAACAGTCTTGTAAACATTTTCTATGAAGTGATATTTGTCTGTTTGTTCCTCCCATGCCTTCTGGGTGTCATGTTATATTTTCAGTTGTTTATTCTCTTCAAGACTGTTAAAACCTATAACCATTTTGAAATTAGCAATTGGCATTTAAAAAAAAAAGACATTTAGAAACTAGTGTTTGATGCCTTAGGGTAATAAACAAAAGCTTTGCCATTCAGTAGAGAGCAAAGTACATGAATGTGGTCTTTGACAATTTGAGTCTCTTAAAAAATTACGGAGATTGGTGATGATTTATTAGATAATTCATAAATTAAAATGTTAATATTGACAAAAATGCCCCTAATTAAATTTATCTAGTTAAAATAGCATTTTGCCTATGTAATTATTTAAAAGTTAGAATATGAAATGTACAGTTTCAGATATTGATGGTAAAGAGTGGTTCTAGAAGCAGTTTAACCATAAAATCTTTAGAGTCCTGACCTGGTGTTGTAGGAGAAGCAGTGGACTGCTAACCACAAGGTTGGCAGTTCAAGCCCATCAGCCACTCCTTGAAAACTCAATGCAAGGTCTCTGTAAGTCAGAATCGTCTCAACAATACTTAACAACAGCATTAAAAAAAAATGTTTTATTGTGAATTATGTGATAGTTTACATGTGAGAACATTAGCTTTACATTCATCCTATTGTATATCATTTCATTGCCATGGTTACAATCCCCTCCATGCAGCATCAACCAACCAAAGGGTATACAAGCAAGCCTGCCCCCCAGGTGTTAGCACACAGCCCCTCTCCCTTTCTGGGTCTAAAGTGCCCAGCCGCTCTATATATCCACATCATCGTCTCTGTCTCCATCTCTGGCATCATTGCTTCTCTGGGTAGGGTCCCGCTCTCTGCTCTTCTCCCTTGATGGTCCCAGGGAACCTCTGCTCCTAGACTGCAAAGTTAATCACCCCCCTCCTTTTGCTACAAAACATTTACCTTTACATTGCCAACCCTCACAATCAGTCCTGATGAGAATTATTCAGTATTGTATCGCAAGAGACCTATCCACATCTCCTTTCATCAGCCCTGCCCCGACAGATTGGATACT